AGTTCCCTGCTTCAGCTTGCAAGATTGACTTCCTACAAGACATCCCCAAGGAGAAGCCACATGGACCTATCCCCATGCAACCCTGGGTGCTGGAGACCCCTGCTAGTGCTGAAATGCTTATTGGTTCACTGACTCAGCTTTCCTCCTGCAGTCGGCATCATTGCCTCTGTTTTGTGAGGTGGAGGACTTTGTGGACTGGTGTTGGGTAAATGGGTTAATGTTGGACTTGTGGGCTTGGGCAGCATTGGGTTGGGATGTTTTGTGATGCACACTTTCTTTACATAAAACTCTCTTATACATGAGTTGCTGTGGATTTGTTTCTCTAAAGTACCTAGACTAATACATTGTTATTTTCATATCTTACACTGACTGCTGTCTCCCTCTCCCAGTGGTTTCTTCACCCCTCCTTTCCCCACCTTCCCCTTCTGCCATTGGTACTCCCATTTCTATTCCTGAGGGGTTTATTTGACCTGGATTCTGTGTGTCCTGAGCTCTTACCTGTACTTGTGTACATGTTCTGGCCTAGCCCGCAGTGAAAGGCAGGATTTGGGTCATGATAGTGGGGTGTACGGAAGTCTCAAGAAACCAGATAAATATTGTGTGTTTCATTGGTGCTATACTTCACTCTGGTTGACTTGTCTCTTCCTTGCGACCTTTCTGTGAGAGGATGTCACATTGTCTACAGATGGTTTTGGGTCTCTGCTCTGACTCCCCTTGTTCTCAATAATATATATATTTGTTTGCTTTGGGTCTTTTTAAAAAAATAAAAGATCATTTTATTGAGGACTCTTACAGCTCTTATAATATTCCATACATCAATTGTATCAAGCATATTTGTGCATATGTTGCCATCATTATTTTCTCAACATTTACTTTCTATTGAGCCATTAGTATCAGCTCATCTTCCCTGTCCCCCTGTAGCCCCTTTATAAATGATAAATCATGGTTATTTTCATATCTTAAACCGACCTCTGTCTCTCATCGTTCATGGTTTCTATTGTTTGTTCCCCTGGGGGTGGGATGGGGGGTGGTTATGTGTCCATCATTATGATTGGTTCTTTCTTCATCCCCTCCTCTCCCCACCTTCCTCCTACCCTCCTGGTATCCCATTCCTGGTACTCCCATTCCTGCTCCTGGATTCCATGTGTTGTGAGCTCTTATCCCTTATCTGTACCTGTGCACATGCTCTGGTATAGTCGGCAGTGAAAGTCAATACTTGGTTCATGATAGTGGGGGGTGAGGATGCCTCAAGGAACCAGAGGATTATTGTGTGTTTCATCAGTGCTATACTGTATCCTGGTTGACTCATCCCTTCCTTGTGACCCTTCTGTGAGGGGATTCCCCATTGTCTGCAATTGGGTTTTGGGTCTCTTCTCAGAACCCCCTCATTCTCAAAAAATATGTTTTTTTCCCCATTTGTTTGTTTGATTGTTTTGAGTCTTCTGATTCCTGTCACCTGATCCCATCGACACCTCTTGATGAAACAGGCTGGCGTGCTTCTTCCATGTGAAGGCTGTGTCTTTCATTGCTTCTCTGCTAGATGGCTGCTTATTTAACTTCAAGCCTTTAAGATCCCAGATGCTATAGCTTTTGATAGCCAGGAACCATCAGTTTTCTTCACCACATTTTCTTGTGCACCCATTTTGTCTTCAGTGATTGTGCAGGGAGAGTGAGTGTCACAGAATGCCATGTTGTTAGAACAACGTGTTCTTGTGTTGAGGTAGGGCTTGAGCAGAGACCCAAAGTCTGTCCATGTCCTCAATGTTTTGCAATATAAATATATGTGCCTATGCCAATACCTCTATTTTTATGAATCAATATATTTACATAAATGTACACCTATGTTTATACCCCTATCCATAACTTTGCTTCCTAGATCTTTCCTCTGTTTCCTTTTACCTTCCTTCTTTCTTTGGGGGAGATTTTAAACTACTAAACTACTAATGATACAGTACCTGAAGTGGCTATTGATAGTGTTATTTTGAGTCAATTTTGGCAATGTTGGGGTCTTATAAGCCCAATAAATAATACCCCATCTAAAAGAAAGATCAGGCAGATAGAGATAACATTAGCAGTTTTATTACTGCTAGATTGTCAGTAAAAACAAAGGATTCATGATATTATAACCCAGAATGAGTCAAATGTGTCCACATAGTTATCAGCTAGTCTGGTAGTCACAGGCTGCACCCATGAAGGTCAGAGAGAGCACAGAAGCATATATGCAGGTGAGTGATTTCAGTGTAAAAAAGGAAAGAAGGGCTGAGCTGTGCATGTAGATTTTGTGCTCCCAAATCTGAAGCACAATTAGTTAATTCACCTCCTAGGGAAAAGCCAAGTGGTATTACAAAACCTTGTGAATAAAATACGAGGAGTGGAAAATCAATATTCATCCCAGTAGAAAATGTCAATTTCTGGGAATTGACTATCCCATTAAGTATTTACATTTGTTGACATAGATTTGTTTAAAGGATTAAAAAACAGCTGAATTTGAAATAGCTACTGTATTTATCATGTACCACAGATAAAGCAACACATTATTAATGGCTCCATTAACAAGCTCTTCATTTCCTTACTTCTCATTTTAGTAAAGAAAATGCTCACTGTCTACGCAAAGCTTTCTCAATAAGCTATACTGTGCCAATGGCCTTTCCTGGATTATGGCTGAGGTGTGCAGGCCTTCATCTTAGCTGTCATGGGAAGGACCTTAGAATGCATCCTAACTTAGGAAAATAAGAAGATCAATAAGTTCTGTAGTCTGTATCTGATGATGAGAATTCTTTAGATCTTTCTCCTTCAACTCTGACCATCAGAGTGGAGTATGTTTTCTTTTGGTCCTTACATTACAATGTTCACCCATGCAAAGAAGAAGTTGGAGGTGGAGGTGGGGAATGGGAAGTTCCGAGGCATGGAGGCGACAAGCTTATTTCTTTTATGACTCAAGGAAAGGCTATAGCACACCTACTCAATATCTTTATCTTAGAGGGATCATTATTTGAATTGAAAAATTCTGTATCATATTGATAACGTTTAAAATTGTAGATCATGGCAAGTTTCTTTCTGGTCCTTACTCCACAATGCAGACACATGCAAACAAATTGAAAGCTGATGTAGGAACATGGAGTTCTGAGAGTGTAGCTAAGGAAAAGGTTATGGCATGCCTAATCAATATCTTCACCTGAGGAAGATAGTTGTCCAAAATTTACTTATTCTGGATTATGCTGATAAAAATTTATCTTTAATTAAAAATGTATGTTAACACAAAACACGCTGGGTATTTTGATATAATAGCATAACCTGTTCTCCCTAGCCTTACTCCTACAAGAGCAATCTATTTGCAGTCTAAGCCTGTTCCACTCATTTCCCTTTTTAGACACTCTAACCTCAATTGCTGCAAATATACAGAGATCACTTTAATGGTTCCTTTTCCCTTCATCAATTTCATAAGTTTTCATCTCGGTTATGAAGACTTTCTAATTTATATTACAGTTTAGATATCTCATCCACATTCTACTCTTGTATTCTTACTTTCAACCGAATCTTTATTTGTGGGTCATATTTTGATGACTTATTTTATCACGTTTGCCACCCACATCTGTATTATTGATCTGAGCTAATGTTACACACCCATCTGCCCATTTACAAAGCTAGACACCGCTCAGTTTGTGAAATATCCCTTTTCTCTTTTCTACTAAATCCCATCAGTTTATCAGTCTCTGTGCCTCTGATTTACACCCCTCCTCCTGCTGCCATTTCCAACTCTAGTATTTGTGTTCTGTTGTATGTAACAGGGGTTAGATGGTTCGAAGTATATTGCTCATATTCGATTGGCTAATGAATTGTACTGCAGAAGATTGGCAGGCAGGGGGAGGGGAAAAGACAATGCTTCTCTTCTCTCTGCTTCGTGAAGTCTGTGCAGCAAGAGGCGGGCAGGGGCTCTGTGGACATCAGCAGTGATCCTTGAGGGTAACGCAATACGTGATTACCTGAGAAGGCTCCCATAGCCCTGATACTGGCAGCTTTGATAGCATCAGGAGGAGGTAGCTATGCATTCCAAAATGTATTGGCAGTCTGCATCATTCAAGTTAGAGTTTTGAACACCAGCAATGATTTCTAAAACCAAAGTCGCTGCCAGTGAGTCAGTGCTGACTTGGAGCTGCCCGCTGTGGGTTTCCCAGACTGTAACTGTTTATGGGAGTAGAAAGCCCGGTCTTTCTTCTGTGAGTGATTTCCAAGAGGGTCGATATTTAATGTACTGCTGGGTTCCTGCAATATCGCTCTCCCATTTATTTCTCCAGTCCTGAGGACAACACGGTTTCTTGTAGTCAATACTTTATCTTTTTTGTTTTCAGCTTCCTTCCCCCACCTCCCTCTTTCAGTAATAAGCACTCTTAATTTGAAATACCAAGTCATGATTTTTGTTCACCCCAAAACTTGATATCACTTTTTGTAAAGTATATATAACCCGATTTTTCTTCTGATATTTACTAACATGGCTTTATTAGAGCTGTTTTAAAAGCCTATTTCACAATATTCCTAATTTATCATTATTTTACCTCTTCAGCCCGAGTCAACTTAAGTTTAGTATAGAAATACTTTAAAGTATTTCTTTACTTTGGCTTAATATAGAAATCATTGGATAATTTGGCCTTATTTTTACAGCCTTTTCATATCATTCAATTATAGCTATTATTCACGTGAAGCATTGAACTTCTCAGTGGTACTCAACCATACTGGGTTTTTAAAACTTTTTATTGAAACTTTTGCCACCTTCTCCAGTGGCTCAGTGTGTTATATGAATCTGTTTATTTATGTCTTGAATTTGCCCTTAGCAGCCTGTAATAATATTCCCCGCCCCAAGTTTTCATCTCCCCATTGAAAGTTAGTGCTTAGAGAAAAGATAACTCTAATGCATCATTATTTGCCCCGATAATGACTGGTATTTAAAAGAAGTGACACATACTTCTTAACTTATCAACAAATTTTCTCTTATGAAATGAACTCTATGTGGCATTCAAACCCGCAAATCTTCTGACCATCTCTTTGAAGGCTTGTTTGACTTGCTGGTTCCTTAGGGTGTAAATGAAAGGATTCAACAGGGGAGCAACAGAAGTAATGAGCACGGCCACTCCCTTGTTGAAGGCCACTCCCTCTTTTGCTGAAGGCTTAATGTAAATGAAGATGCAGCTGCCATAAGAGATGGTGATGACAATCATGTGCGAAGAGCAGGTGGAGAAGGCCTTTTTTCTTTGCTGCGCTGATGGGATCTTGAGAATAGTTTTGATGATGTAAGTGTATGAAAGCATCACCAGTGCCAGTGTGATGATCAAGGTCACACAGGCTAACATAAAGTCAAGCAGCTCTAAGAGGCTGGTGTCTGAGCAGGAGATCTCCAAGAGGGGCCCATAGTCACAGAAAAAATGATCCAGCACATTGGAGTCACAGAAATCCAGCCGGCTAGTCAGGATGATTGGGGATAAGATGATTAGAAAACCACTTAGCCAACAGCAGAGAACCAGCTGGGTGCAGACTCTGCTGTTCATGATGGTCATGTAATGTAGGGGTTTGCAGATGGCCACGTAGCGGTCATAGGACATGGCAGCCAGCAAGCAAAACTCTGTGGACCCAAGAAATATGGTTAAGAAATACTGAGTGAAGCAGCCAGCAAAGCTGATGGTATTATTCCCCGTTAGGACGCTGTTTAAGAATCTTGGCGTGAAAATACTAGTGAATGAAATTTCCAAGAAGGAGAAATTTCGCAGGAAAAAATACATCGGTGTCTGGAGATGAGAGTCCAGCAGGGTGAGGGTGATGATGATCAAGTTACCCATAACACTGAATATGTAGGTGAGAAACAGGAAGATGAATATCATGACCTGAAACTCTGGCTTGTCTGTAAATCCCAACAGGATAAACTCAGTTATAGAAGTTTGATTTCTCATAATTAGCACTTGTAGGAATCTTCTGAAGGAACCAAAAAAACAAAACAAAACAAACAAACAAAAAAAAGGACAGCATGGAATAAGAAATCGTGATGCCAGAAATGAGGGCGGTACATGAAAGCAGCTCCTGTTCCCATCTCTGACATATTGCACTCGAGTTAAGTTTTTGGAGACAGCAATTCTTTGGTACAGAGGCTCTGTGTTTCACAGCTTCATACAGTTTTCACAGATCCTTCTAAGCAAGGAGTATTATAGTCCATTCAGGAAAAACATAAAACTATTCAGGCAATAATTGCTTTTGGATGCTGCTTACTTTCTTGTACCAGCTCACTGCTTTACACAGTCAAGTGAGCTTCACCTTGGTTAGGTGTGTGCATGCTGCAGTATTGGGAGACCTTTTTGAGATCACTTTTTAGGTAAGATCATAAATGTCCCAGCTGACAAGTTCCCTGCTTTGGAATGATAAGTATCACTGTCTCCTCTTTCTTTCCTACCACACGTAATAAAAACTACAATTGTGGTGCTTGGATTGTATGGTCCAATTCCAGTTTAGACTCAATTTTCTTCCTTTAGATTTATTCTACTTTCCCTGTGTACTCCCCGCCATCTTTTCCCTAATAAAGAGACCTATGTTAGCAATCCTTAATTAATTACATATGCAACTGTCAAAGGTTACTCGAAATGCACTTAGATGTACATAATTTTTGGTAGACCTTTTCCAATGTTTCTGTCTACTCTTTGCAGCAATACTGGCTGATTCTAACGGACATGTAGGAAATGACAGAGCCTTGCTGTGTCTTGAATTCTTCTCTAATATACATAGGTCACACACGTTGGGTCCTCTTTTTTGTCTTGCATCAGTGTATCTTCCTTGCTGTGGTGATAAGGAGAATTTTATACTAATCTTTTGGTGATTAGTGATTAGGATTCTCCTCTTAGGGCCTGAACAAAAGTGTTCAACAACTGCCTCTGAAACAACTTTGAAAATTCACTGGTAGCAGTAGCTTTGGATTGTAGCTGTAGAACAACATTTGCCTTAATGGTTGTAGCAACTTCTATCAAATTCAGCCATCACATAGATCAGTGGTTCTCAACCTTCCTAATGCTGCAACCCTTTCATACAGTTCCTCATGTTGTGGTGACTCCCCCCCAACCATAAAATTATTTTCGTTGCTACTTCATAACTGTAATTTTGCTGCTGTTATGAATCGGGCGACCCTTGTGAAAGGGTCGTTTGACCCCCAAAGGGGTCACGACTCACAGGTTGCAAACCGCTGACATAGATGGTCAGGAAGTATTGCAGAATCTCCAACATGCCATATTTTCTTTCATTTATGTTCACTATTTCTGTTCATCTCCTCCGATTTCACTCATGGTGTAAACTATAGTGAACTCATTGGATGTCCTGAGTGGGATTTTTGACATTTCCCCACCTACTCACTTAGACGAATTTCCAGTAAGTCCTGCCTTACCCTCTGTCTTTGTCTCCCAGGTAGAGTGTGAAGGCTTCTGGCTTGGACTTGAGTCTTGCTATCGTTTGAGCCATCCCTTTGTAGCTTTGCCTCAGCCATCATTATTCTGTATCGATCTACATGCTTTTTGTTTAAATTAGGAGACGAGATGCAGTGTTCAGGTGTGGTGTCCACTAAATGATTTAGTCTCTTGAATGAGAAACTTAATCATTACTTTATAGCACTCCAGCCAGCTGGTAGCTGAGCCCTGGAAGAGAAGGAGAGGGACTCAAGAGAGTGGAGACTCCTTACCTTTCCCTCAGGGCTCACTTTCCAGTCTTGACTAGTTCTTCCACATGCTATATTACACGGATGACTTTTAGTTCTCTCCTTATTTACAATATGGAAAATAAACTCTCTTCTGGGACAGAAATGTACCCCCAACATATAAAGTAGAGAAAGCTTCTCATTTATCCCAGGTATTTGACTAGAAGTCTCTTATAGAGAAGGCTTGCATGGCATCTAATTGTTTCCTTCAGATTCTACAGGGAGAGACCCACCCTGGTCTTCCCTAACCCATGTGCAAATCAGACCCTTCATTCTGCCAGAGTTGACTTTAGTCATTGGTTTGACCACTTTTTCTGTGTCATGAATGTTTGGTTTTCAAACGACTCCTGTTTGTCCTTCAATGCTGGACTGAATATGATTTTGTCAAAGCCAATGAAACAAAACAGGAAGAGACCTGGAATTCTATAATTGGCGTGACTCCTCACGGTAACTGGAATGGGAGAAATTATGCTTTGAAATCCTGGGAAGGCAGACCCAGAAGAGATGAGCTCTTTCAGGGACCTGATGCCTGAGAATGGGTTCCTGGCAGGACTGTGGCGAGTCAAGATGATACAGTCAGCGGCCATTGTGAGTGTGGTGTCATCATCTTTGAAGCTGTGTTTTAATGTTATGTCAATTTGCCTTCACTTTGAAATGATTCAATCAACCTCTACTCATAGTAAACGCTTCACCTTCACTTGTTCCCCAGGCAGCTTTTGAACTATTGCAAAGGACTGGAACTTAAAAACAAAACGGCTAATGAGAACCATATCCACTTGTTGGATTGACCTACAAATTCTTAAAGATACAGTTTGGAATGGGGCTCACTCTTAATTCCTGTTGTACATAGTTAACCGGATCATTCATTGATATTTATAACTCAATGTTTTTCTTCTTCTGCTCACTTGTCTTGCCTGCTGAGAAGCTATGCACTATCATCCAGAAATTCATATTCAAACAATTTTAATTTTTCACAAGCTTAGAAAGATAACATTATCAATTTTGAAATCTGAGAACATACTTACTCTGGTTTAGCCTGATATTTGCAGTGGTTTTAATCTTCAGTGTCCTAAATTATGAATCAAAGATTAGAGATTAAGTGGGCTCAGTTTCTCACATCTTTTCATGGCACCTTATAACACATACTGGGGTGTTCTTTCGCAGAGGAAGCACTCACGGGCTTTTGGTAAGGAAATAGATACCTATCTTCCCATCCCATAGAGGTCTGGTGGGCGTTTGTCAGCTTTGCTTCTTATACTAAGTAAAGCAATAAGAAAATGAGACCCACAGCAATGGTATATAGTTTAGGTAGAGCAAATAAATGCAATCAATAAAAGCTCCAGGGGTATGACGTGCTTTAAGATCTTATTTCTTTATTTCTAATTATGTCTCTATGACACCTAACAACAATGATGACAATGACAATTATGTCTCATTTAGAAAGAAGCTGGTGATTACTAGGAGACAGACATTGGCTTCTTTATAGATTCTATGTTATTCTGAGTGAAGCAGTTTAATTTAGTTTGTTCAGAGAGAGCACGAGGGATTAATTGAGTTAATAATATCAGGTCCCATGTGATCTATCTTCAAAAAGTGCTAATGAACCTCCTTGGTTGACAAATTGAATGTGAACTTGAAACAGCTGACAAATGAAAGAGACTATAGAGAGAATGGTAAAAAAATATGGTACGAGAACATCATTACTCTTGAGGCACAGAGCAAATGTTAGAATAATTAAGGTCGTCTCTTAGGGTCTACAGTGTTGTCTGGAGCCTAGTTTGGAGTGGTGGTTACTTGGGTTTGTTATGAGTGCTGAGGCTAAAATATTGGGAAAAATTGGCTTCAAGAAGAAGTAGAGGTCCAGGCATAATAGGGAGCCCCTACTTAGCTGTGGCAGTCACACTAGTGTCCCTACAGGAGATAAGTTTATTCCAACACGAGACCCGTCCTGTCCTCTTTCCGACTCTCCTTAGTTTCTGTTGGTTCTGACTTACAGTGGCCCTCTGCACAAGAGAACAAAACACTGCCCAGTCCTGCACCAGCCTCACAGTTGTTCCTCTGCCTGAGTCCACTGTTGCAGCCACTGGATTAATCCATCTCATTGAGGGCCTTCCTCTTCTTGTTGGCCCTCTCCTTACCAAGTATGATGACTTTCTCCAGGGACTGCTCTTTCCTGGCAACATGTGCCAAGTGTGTATGACAAAGTCCTGCCATGCTTTCCTCTAAGGAGCACCCTAACCATTCTTCCAAGACAGACTTGTTTGTTCTTTTAGTAGTCCAAGGTACTTTCTTTTCTTTCTTCTTCTTTAAAAAAAAATCATTTTATTGGGAGCTCATACAACTCTGATCACAATCCATCCATCCATCCACTGTATGTCAAGTGCATTTGTACATTTGTTGCCCTCATGATTCTCAAAACATTTGCTTTCTGCTTGAGCGCTTGGTATCAGCTCCTCATTCTCCCCCTTCCCTTCGTTGTTTTATTTGGCTTTGCCTGGGTTTTGAATTTATTAGTATATCTGCATATCTATCTAGACAAGATAGGCAGATAGACCCCAGATACATCAGCTTCCTTCACCACATTTGCCTATGCACTTTCTTTGTCTTCAGCGATTGTGTCAGGAAGGTGAGCATCATGGAATGCTAGTTTAATGGAACAAAGTATTCTTGCATTGAGGGAATACTTGAGTAGGGACCCAATATCCATCTGTTACCTTAATATGAAACCTATAAATATATGCACATATATCTATTTCCTGATAATATATAAATATATTTACATACGTACATGCCTGTATTTAGACTATATAAATGCCCTTTGCCTCCTAGTTCTTTCCTCTATTTCCTTTTGCTTTTCTCTTGTCCCACTATCATGTTCAGCCTTCATTTGGGTTTCAGTAATTCCTCTTGGTTACATTGCCCTTGATCAAGCCCTACCAGGCCTCTTACACCCTCCTTGCCACTGATTTTGGATCACTTGTTGTTCCCGTCTCCCTGGGTTTGTTAACACCACTACTTTCCCGGCCCCGCCCCCCACTCCCTGTCACCTGGAAATGTTGGTCCCATTGTTTTCTCCTGCAGATTGTTTATCCCGCCCATCTTATTTAGATAGACCTGCAGAGATAATAATATGCACAAAAACAAGACAGAACAAAACAAAACAACAAGAAAAAATCAACAACAATAAAAAGAAAAGCCTGTAAATAGTTCAAGGTCTGTGTTTTG